TACATTGTACCTACATTGTACCTACATTGTACCTACATTGCGCCTACATTGCGCCTACATTGCACCTACATTGCGCCTACATTGCACCTACATTGCGCCTACATTGCGCCTACATTGCGCCTACATTGCACCTACATTGTACCTACATTGTACCTACATTGTACCTACATTGCACCTACATTGCGCCTACATTGCACCTACATTGCGCCTATATTGCGCCTACATTGCACCTACATTGTACCTACATTGTACCTACATTGTACCTACATTGCACCTACATTGCGCCTATATTGCGCCTACATTGCACAGTAATCCTGATAAGGTTGTGCGGTGTCCAGGACAACATGGCCCTGTATTATAGAGACGTAGCCCTGTATTATAGAGACGTAGCCCTGTAGTATAGAGACGTGGCCCTGTAGTATAGAGACGTAGCCCTGTAGTATAGAGACGTAGCCCTGTAGTATAGAGACGTAGCCCTGTAGTATAGAGACGTGGTCCTGTAGTATAGAGACGTAGCCCTGTAGTATAGAGACGTAGCCCTGTATTATAGAGACGTAGCCCTGTAGTATAGAGACGTAGCCCTGTAGTATAGAGACGTAGCCCTGTAGTATAGAGACGTGGCCCTGTATTATAGAGACGTGGCCCTGTAGTATAGAGACGTGGCCCTGTATTATAGAGACGTGGCCCTGTAGTATAGAGACGTAGCCCTGTAGTATAGAGACGTAGCCCTGTAGTATAGAGACGTAGCCCTGTATTATAGAGACGTAGCCCTGTATTATAGAGACGTAGCCCTGTAGTATAGAGACGTAGCCCTGTATTATAGAGACGTAGCCCTGTAGTATAGAGACGTAGCCCTGTAGTATAGAGACGTGGTCAGTGTTCCGAGTACAGTAACAATTACCTTCTTAACAACGGACTCAAACTGTATTTGTGAAACTTAGTTAGATTAGGTTGTGAAATTAACCGTTTTGTAGTCCAATTAGGAGTTCTTCTTCTTCTTTATTTATGTTCAAATCTAATAAATGATATTTGAGAAATATTAGAGGATCACTCAAGCTATATAACGTTACATGTTCCCGTAAATCATTACTAATATTGATTATATTAGTAGTACTATACCGCTTAATAACTTCCAACCCAATATACAGGATAGGAGGTATAAACTGTACTGTTTAGCGGTCCTTTTAAGGATAATACCCTAAACTGATATGCCATATTCACATAATTACATATTATACATCTAATACTCCGATATCTATGTTACAGACTAACTATAATCTAATCCTGCCATTCATTATAGCGCTAAAGAATCAGCACGTATAATTGCGTTGGTATTTGCCAGTATTATCACTGTTAGAGTACAGTAATGTTGGTATTTGCCAGTATTATCATTGTTAGAGTGTTGTAAGTACAGTAATGTTGGTATTTGCCAGTATTATCACTGTTAGAGTACAGTAATGTTGGTATTTGCCAGTATTATCATTGTTAGAGTGTTGTAAGTACAGTAATGTTGGTATTTGCCAGTATTATCATTGTTAGAGTACAGTAATAGTAGTAGTAGTAATGTTTAGTATCTTATATGAATGCATGGCTTCTTGCAGATGGCTATGAATAATACGTATTTCCTGATTCAACCTCTTTTGACCTCTTTATTTAATAGCTCTCAAGCGACAAAGTAAACTTGTTTCTTTTGAAGATATTTCCTTGTGTTTCTTAAAGAGTGTGATAACTGGAGCAGTGGTAACAGAGTCTGTAACCACTAGTAACCACTGTAATACAGACGAGTAGTAAACTAGGAACTGGTGTGTGTCTGGTGAATGTGTGGGACTGTATTTTAACAGATGCCTCTCTAGCCTATAGAATGCCGCCGTTTCGAGGAGCAGTCAGTCACAAACCAGCATTCACGTCACGTGGTGGCAGAGAGCCAATAGAATTACAGGATCTGGTCGCATTACATGATGGAGCTACTCCGGCTATGTGTAATAATTAAGTTAGGATCTTGCTGTTCTCCAGTTACATAGGCCGTCACGTTAGTTACTCGCATTGATATTGAATTTCAGCTTTTTGTTGCCCGTAGCAACTCATATACCTTACCTTGTAGTTTGATTTGTCAGCAGCATTTACCGTGTGTCAGTGTGAGAGCTAATAATAGCTAGTGAGTGATTCCCCGGTTCCTTGCTTTGTTCGCTATCCGTGCACTTAAATAGATGATTTAGTCTATAAAATATAAGCCTACATCTAGGTTATATAATATATAAGCCTACATCTAGTAGTAGTACATCTAGGTTGTATGGCCTATTTATTCTCTTTATCTAGGTTATATGGCCTATTTATTCTCTATATCTAGGTTATATGGCCTATTTATTCTCTACATCTAGGTTGTATGGCCTATTTATTCTCTTTATCTAGATTGTATGGCCTATTTATTCTCTAGATCTAGGTTATATGGCTTTTTCATTTTCTAAATCTAGGTTATATGGCCTATTTATTCTCTATATCTAGGTTATATGGCCTATTTATTCTCTTTATCTAGGTTGTATGGCCTATTTATTCTCTTTATCTAGGTTGTATGGCCTATTTATTCTCTTTATCTAGGTTGTATGGCCTATTTATTCTCTACATCTAGGCTGTATGGCCTATTTATTCTCTAGATCTAGATTATATGGCCTATTTATTCTCTAGATCTAGATTGTATGGCCTATTTATTCTCTAAATCTAGGTTATATGGCCTATTTATTCTCTAGATCTAGATCGTATGGCTTTTTCATTATCTAAATCTAGGTTATATGGCCTATTTATTCTCTACATCTAGGTTGTGTGGCCTATTTATTCTCTTTATCTAGGTTGTATGGCCTATTTATTCTCTACATCTAGGTTGTATGGCCTATTTATTCTCTTTATCTAGGTTGTATGGCCTATTTATTCTCTACATCTAGGCTGTATGGCCTATTTATTCTCTAGATCTAGATTGTATGGCTTTTTCATTCTCTAAATCTAGGTTATATGGCCTATTCATTCTCTAAATCTAGGTTGTATGGCCTATTCATTATCTAAATCTAGGTTGTATGGCCTATTTATTCTCTTTATCTAGGTTGTATGGCCTATTTATTCTCTACATCTAGGCTGTATGGCCTATTTATTATCTTTATCTAGGTTGTATGGCCTATTTATTCTCTACATCTAGGTTATATGGCCTATTCATTCTCTAAATCTAGGTTGTATGGCCTATTCATTATCTAAATCTAGGTTGTATGGCCTATTTATTCTCTTTATCTAGGTTGTATGGCCTATTTATTCTCTTTATCTAGGTTGTATGGCCTATTTATTCTCTACATCTAGGTTGTATGGCCTATTTATTCTCTTTATCTAGGTTGTATGGCCTATTTATTCTCTTTATCTAGGTTGTATGGCCTATTTATTCTCTACATCTAGGTTGTATGGCCTATTTATTCTCTTTATCTAGGTTGTATGGCCTATTTATTCTCTACATCTAGGCTGTATGGCCTATTTATTCTCTATATCTAGGTTGTATGGCCTATTTATTCTCTATATCTAGGTTGTATGGCCTATTTATTCTCTATATCTAGGTTGTATGGCCTATTTATTCTCTATATCTAGATTGTATGGCCTATTTATTCTCTACATCTAGGTTGTATGGCCTATTTATTCTCTACATCTAGGCTGTATGGCCTATTTATTCTCTAGATCTAGATTGTATGGCTTTTTCATTCTCTAAATCTAGGTTATATGGCCTATTCATTCTCTAAATCTAGGTTGTATGGCCTATTCATTATCTAAATCTAGGTTGTATGGCCTATTTATTCTCTTTATCTAGGTTGTATGGCCTATTTATTCTCTACATCTAGGCTGTATGGCCTATTTATTATCTTTATCTAGGTTGTATGGCCTATTTATTCTCTACATCTAGGTTATATGGCCTATTCATTCTCTAAATCTAGGTTGTATGGCCTATTCATTATCTAAATCTAGGTTGTATGGCCTATTTATTCTCTTTATCTAGGTTGTATGGCCTATTTATTCTCTTTATCTAGGTTGTATGGCCTATTTATTCTCTACATCTAGGTTGTATGGCCTATTTATTCTCTTTATCTAGGTTGTATGGCCTATTTATTCTCTTTATCTAGGTTGTATGGCCTATTTATTCTCTACATCTAGGTTGTATGGCCTATTTATTCTCTTTATCTAGGTTGTATGGCCTATTTATTCTCTACATCTAGGCTGTATGGCCTATTTATTCTCTATATCTAGGTTGTATGGCCTATTTATTCTCTATATCTAGGTTGTATGGCCTATTTATTCTCTATATCTAGGTTGTATGGCCTATTTATTCTCTATATCTAGATTGTATGGCCTATTTATTCTCTACATCTAGGTTGTATGGCCTATTTATTCTCTATATCTAGGTTGTATGGCCTATTTATTCTCTATATCTAGGTTGTATGGCCTATTTATTCTCTACATCTAGGCTGTATGGCCTATTTATTCTCTTTATCTAGATTGTATGGCCTATTTATTCTCTTTATCTAGATTGTATGGCCTATTTATTCTCTAGATCTAGATAGTATGGCCTTTTCATTCTCTACATCTAGGCTGTATGGCCTATTTATTCTCTTTATCTAGGTTGTATGGCCTATTTATTCTCTTTATCTAGATTGTATGGCCTATTTATTCTCTAGATCTAGATAGTATGGCCTTTTCATTCTCTAGATCTAGATTATATGGCTTTTAAATTCTATAAATCTAGATTATATATGGCCTATCCAGTATCCATTCTCCAAGCATATATATTGCTGATAAGGGGGGGGGGGGGGGGGGTATTGATTTAATCATAGCAATTCTATCCACCGCAGACGGGTATCCCATTTCCAATTCAGCAGAATTTTATTTCGGACACAACCCCAAATCTGCAGCTCTAATGAGAGCCACTATCATTCACACCATAATTCGGTTCCCACTGGAAATCGAATCCTGGGAAGTTTTTGAGCAGACCACTACAACACTGTTATTTTCTTTCCTAACCCTTGAGTTCCCCAGCTATAATGGTCGGTAGAGACTCCCGATCACCGCCGCACAACCGTAACCGCCGATCACCACGAAGATCCAGGTCACCGAGATCACCTCACAGTGACCACTGGGATCGGTCAACATCTCACAGGTCCCCGTCACGGAGACCAGACTCCAAAACCTACAGGAGGTCACATTCTCAAGAATACAAAAACCAAAGATCAGATTCTCAAGAATACAGAAACCAAAGATCGCATTCTCAAAATTACAAAAACCAAAGGCATGACTCCCCAACGCTGGGTTATAGCAGCACCAATAACAAGTCCCGCTCACCTTCTCGACGGAATGGATCACCCCACTATAACCCTAGGAGGTCCCCTAGAAGATCACCTAGAAGATCACCTAGAAGATCCCCTAGAAGATCACCTAGAAGATCCCCTAGAAGATCCCGATCTCCAGACAGGAGAGACTATCATGGCCGCTCTTCTGACAACTATCATGGCCCGTCTAGATCACGCTCACCCTCACAGAGGAGCGACAATTCAGAGTTCTACAACAGGAACCATCCAGCCTTTTCTGAAGGTCAAGAGAACTCTTCTAACACCCGAAACACGTCGGCTGGGGACACGACCCGACCAGACACTAACTTCAGGGACCAACCCCAGAGTTTCTCAGAGCACCGTGCTGGGAGGGATAGGGACCAACCCCAGAGTTTCTCAGAGCACCGTGCTGGGAGGGATAGGGACCAACCCCAGAGTTTCTCAGAGCAGCGTGTAGGGAGAGATAGGGACCAACCCCAGAGTTTCTCAGAGCAGCGTGTAGGGAGAGATAACCCCAGTGAAGCTAGCGGATTAGCCAACAATTTCCAGAATGATGGCTCCTTCATGGAGATGTTCAAGAGAAAAATGGACGAGAAGAAGAAAGAAGAGGAGGCTACACAGCAAACGTCCGAACAAAAGGTGCAATATCTTAAAATGTATACTAGTATTATTGTTATTAATATTGAAACGTTTCATAGTTAACACCAAGATCTGAACAAGGTTAAGCCATTATTTTAAAGATTTGACTCATGTTGCCCACAATATTGAACACGTCCTTCAGCATGGTTTAGAAATTACTAGCAGGAATATATATATATAGTAAGACAGTAGGAGTACTCACTTAGTCTGAGTTACAACATTGATCTACAATGTACATTCTACATCTCCCCACATTTGCACACTTATTTGGCTGAAAAGTGACTAGTACTACTGGGTAACTAACATGAAAGCAACATTTCAGACGGTGAAGAAGTCCTTACTATTCCGGAGAATTCCTCAGAAGAAGGCCAAGCCACTGGTTACGGGCGTTAAAAAGGTATTTTTAGCACCGAGAGGTTATCAGCTGTAATTATCATACAATACTCTGATTAACATAGCTCCTTGTTGTTTCCTACCTTTACCTTTCCTGGGGATGATATTCTAAAGTTACTGGTATTGTTATTGGTATTTTACTAACTGCACTATCAATAAATAAAACGATTACTCGCATGTCCTGCACCATGGTAACCATGGTGACCTGATCATGTGCATGTTAACAATAATCTACCGGACAACTAAGGGACACACCAGATTACACAACATATACACAATGTGTGCACTGTGTACATTACACAACATACACACGCAATGTGTGCACTGTGTACATTACACAACATATACACACAATGTGTGTACTGTGTACATTAGACAACAACATATAATACAATGTGATGTTGTGTCCCGGGCCACTAGAAATCTAGTTCTGGGTTTTGGCGATTTGTCGGCCTCTATCTGGTGTGGGTATGGGAACAGTTCGGTTCGACTTAAACCGCATGCTGAAAAATACAAAAGTCTTTTGGCCTAAATTGGATAACGCAACCCAATTAAGCAATTAACGACCAATTAAGTAATTAACGGGAGAGCCCCGCCCAGGCACAGAAGAAGCCGGAGGCAGCTAGTAACAGCGCGTGGGAGGCGTACATGAGAGAAGTGGAAGCGTACAAGACGAACAGCTGTGCTGATGATGACAGGTTCAGCAGACCCCTCTGCAAGTGATCACTATTTACCACCCTGGTGTTACCACCTGCAACACCCTGGTGTTACCACCTGCAACACCTAGGTGTTACCACCTGCAACACCTAGGTGTTACCACCTGCAACACCTAGGTGTTACCACCTGCAACACCTAGGTGTTACCACCTGTAACACCCTGGTGTTACCACCTGCAACACCTAGGTGTTACCACCTGCAACATCTTGGTGTTACCACCTGCAACACCTAGGTGTTACCACCTTCAACACCCTGGTGTTACCACCTGCAACACCTAGGTGTTACCACCTGCAACACCTTGGCGTTACCACCTGCAACACCTAGGTGTTACCACCTGCAACACCTTGGTGTTACCACCTGCAACACCTAGGTGTTACCACCTGCAACACCTAGGTGTTACCACCTTCAACACCCTGGTGTTACCACCTGCAACACCTTGGTGTTACCACATGCAACACCTTGGTGCTACCACCTGCAACACCTTGGTGTTACCACCTGCAACACCTTGGTGTTACCACCTGCAACACCTAGGTGTTACCACCTGCAACACCTTGGTGTTACCACCTGCAACACCTAGGTGTTACCACCTGCAACACCTAGGTGTTACCACCTGCAACACCTAGGTGTTACCACCTTCAACACCCTGGTGTTACCACCTGCAACACCTTGGTGTTACCACATGCAACACCTTGGTGCTACCACCTGCAACACCTTGGTGTTACCACCTGCAACACCTTGGTGTTACCACCTGCAACACCTAGGTGTTACCACCTGCAACACCTTGGTGTTACCAGCTGCAACACCTAGGTGTTACCACCTGCAACACCTAGGTGTTACCACCTGCAACACCTAGGTGTTACCACCTTCAACACCCTGGTGTTACCACCTGCAACACCTTGGTGTTACCACATGCAACACCTTGGTGCTACCACCTGCAACACCTTGGTGTTACCACCTGCAACACCTTGGTGTTACCACCTGCAACACCTAGGTGTTACCACCTGCAACACCTTGGTGTTACCAGCTGCAACACCCTGGTGTTACCACCTGCAACACCTAGGTGTTACCACCTGCAACACCTAGGTGTTACCACCTTCAACACCCTGGTGTTACCACCTGCAACACCTTGGTGTTACCACATGCAACACCTTGGTGCTACCACCTGCAACACCTTGGTGTTACCACCTGCAACACCTTGGTGTTACCACCTGCAACACCTAGGTGTTACCACCTGCAACACCTTGGTGTTACCAGCTGCAACACCCTGGTGTTACCACCTGCAACACCTTGGTGTTACCAGCTGAAACACCTTGGTGTTACCACCTGCAACACCCTGGTGTTACCACCTGCAACACCTTGGTGTTACCACCTGCAACACCCTGGTGTTACCACCTGCAACATCTTGGTGTTACCAGCTGAAACACCTTGGTGTTACCACCTGCAACACCCTGGTGTTACCACCTGCAACACCTTGGTGTTACCAGCTGAAACACCTTGGTGTTACCACCTGCAACACCCTGGTGTTACCACCTGCAACATCTTGGTGTTACCAGCTGAAACACCTTGGTGTTACCACCTGCAACACCTTGGTGTTACCACCTGCAACACCTTGGTGTTACCACCTGCAACACCTGGGTGTTATCACCTGCAACACCTTGGTGTTACCAGCTGCAACACCTTGGTGTTACCACCTAAATAGTTATGAAGATATTCGGAACAGGAAACCAGAGACAATACAATTATCCTGTGCTGTCTTGAAGCATTTGATTGTTTTATGATTTCCCACTTCGCAGCTTGAAGGTAAGTAGATAGCAGTCAGAGAGATTCCTAATATTAGTAAACTAATTATTAGTATTACAGCTGATTATTAGTATTACAGCTGAAATTATAAACTGTGATTTCCTATTACTCGAACTACATTATTTCGCTGCCCAATGTTTCAAAGAGCAGGTAAACATTACGGGGGGGATGCAACGTCAATTAATGTCAGTATTCCATAAAAACCCCAAACTGACATTGACATTAATTGACATTAATTGACATTAATTGACATTAATTGACATTAATTGACATTAATTTGTCTTGAAATTTGAGATTATCATTATTCGATAAATATTCAAGATATTCACGTCTATGTAAGTTAGACCGGTTCAAAAAACAAAATGTCCTTGAATAATTATGAGTATGTTCTTATCTGTTGATCCTTAGGTTCATAGACCACCAAAAAAAATTTCAGCTTCAAACTCTTCCATCTTCGGTCCCCACCGGCCACGCCCATATTTTATTGGTTTCTTATACAGGTAAAATATCTAGAATCGGCTTTTTTAGTATGAAGGAGTAATGCTAGCTGTTTAAGATTCGTTATTCAAATATAAATGTCATGAAGGCATTTCGTTAAATGTGGATTTTAAGTTCTGATGATGTTGAGAACCACGCCCTTGGATGGCCACGCCCATTTAAGAAAATTAAATTTCGGAAAACCGTACTATTATTTTAGTTTTATTGTTTAATGATCTGAATTTTTTTCACATTTCACATTTCCATATGTGATAGTAGTGAATAAATTGATGATATAAACGTTCTAAAGTGCTAAAAATATGGTAGAACTACATAATCTCTGGTCGAAAAATATCGTGTCAATTAATGTCAGTATTCCAAAATTTTGCAAAACTGACATTGACATTAATTGACATTAATTGACATTAATTGACATTAATTGACATTAATTGACGTTGCATCCCCCCCCCCCAACATTACCCACATGGCATGTTTCCATAGTAACTACTAGTTGTATATCCTGACTTACTATTTAATACTAGCTATGGGGAGGGGGTGTCTCCCCGCTATATAGGGAGGGGGTGTCTCCCCGCTATAATATACCTAACTTCTCTTTTAGAAGCTGTTTTGTACCATTTTTAACGTGTGACTAAAACGTTCTTGAGTGAATCATTTTAACCGTTTTTAAATGTACAAGGGTGCACTTTAAAGTGCGATCAGCAGTGCACAGTGGGTGCTGATTCAGCACCTGCTGTGCACTGTGCAGTGTGCAGTGTGCACTGTGCAGTGTGCACTGTGCACTGTGCACTGTGCAGTGTGCACGTTAATTTTGTCTTTGTTTTAACCGGGTTAATCTGAACGTTTTTCTGTAATTGCGGTTAATATTTTAATGTATTTTGTTTATACATTAACCTGTTATATTTTTAAGTTATTAGATTTGCAGATTTTAATAAACTGTCTTCCTCTTGTTTTCCATATAATATGATAATTGCCACCTTTTTGGCTCCAAAATGGGCTTCAAATTACATGCATTGCCAATTTACAGTCACGAGTTCTAAATATCAACCAAATGATTCCTTTCTAACTCCGCAATAAGTACAAATACAATTCAAATTAAAAAAGATATCAAGATTTGAGGAAGCGCCAACTCAAGAACAGTTAGACTGGTTTTGCCTAAATTTGGGTTTTTAATACATGAACAAATAGATATCAACAAATCCTTGATCCTCCTACTCCTCAATCTACTGCCGCTATTTCACAACACGCAGCCACAACTATGATACTGATAGAGTATGTCAAACTTCCAACTTGATTCAAGTTTAAATAAACATTAAAGAATACAACCTTATATATAAAGAGCTACTTGGGTTTAAAAGAAATTCTTCGGTCTTGAAGAGTGGTATAATTAGTAAGTGTAACTACTTATAAATATTGTGCACCCAGATGCAATATGTTTTTCAAAAAACTTGGGTCGATTACGAGTGAGGATTTACAATTATAGTGGGCGAGTAAGGTCTAAATATTGAGGAGCTATATCTATATCCTCCCTTCAGAAATAGGTTAGGAGTTACAATAGAGGGCGAGTAAGGTCTAAATATTGAGGAGCTATATCTATATCCTCCCTTCAGAAATAGGTTAGGAGTTACAATAGAGGGCGAGTAAGGTCTAAATATTGAGGAGCTATATCTATATCCTCCCTTCAGAAATAGGTTAGGAGTTACAATAGAGGGCGAGTAAGGTCTAAATATTGAGGAGCTATATCTATATCCTCCCTTCAGAAATAGGTTAGGAGTTACAATAGAGGGCGAGTAAGGTCTAAATATTGAGGAGCTATATCTATATCCTCCCTTCAGAGGTTAGGAGTTACAATAGAGGGCGAGTAAGGTCTAAATATTGAGGAGCTATATCTATATCCTCCCTTCAGAGGTTAGGAGTTACAATAGAGGGCGAGTAAGGTCTAAATATTGAGGAGCTATATCTATATCCTCCCTTCAGAGGTTAGGAGTTACAATAGAGGGCGAGTAAGGTCTAAATATTGAGGAGCTATATCTATATCCTCCCTTCAGAAATAGGTTAGGAGTTACGATAGAGGGCGAGTAAGGTCTAAATATTGAGGAGCAATATCTATATCCTCCCTTCAGAAATAGGTTAGGAGTTACGATAGAGGGCGAGTAAGGTCTAAATATTGAGGAGCAATATCTATATCCTCTCTCCAGCAGGGGTTGTTATGCAGAAGTTCTAAACTCTTGGCTGCTTTGTTGATAGCAATGAGCTGCTTCTTGGCCTGTTCGTTGGATGGAATGCTCACGAAATCGAGGCCCTGTTTCTGTCGCAGTCCTGCTTCTATCATTTCAGCTGGTATCTTCGTCCTGCGGTGATATATTACCTTATATGGGCATCACGTGATATATCAGAGCCCTCTCTCAAACCACGTGATCAGCAAATTCTGTAGAGAAAGTAGACAGGTTGAAGTTACTCAATAATTGAGTTGTAATACTACAATAGTAATACAGAAATATTACAATTGTTACCTGTAGTGATGTATTTTATCGTTTATCTCTGATATTATCTTAGGATAAGCCTCCTGCAGCTGTATAAACGCCACCACCTGCCCCAGCAAACTCGTCTCAACAAACATTTTACTGTTGTTGTTACTCAAACTGCAGGCGAAATAGTGTTCCTTGCTCTTGTTAGTAGCTAGCGGGTACACACTCTCCATAGCACAGTTAAACTCAGGGTAGGACATCCTGCTGGGGCTAGCCCCACAGTTCTGTTTCAGCTTTATCACAGTCTCACAGACGCGCGGCTCTCTGTCCCGGACTATGCAGTGCATGAGATAGTTGGAGACAAGGGAGGGGGATATCCTATTGTTGGAGTGGGAGCTGAAACTCAGGACGTGAGGGTCTATATCCTCGTCTGTAAGGTGGGGGTAGAGCACCATCATGAGGGGGCGGAGATCTAGTGTACACACCAGGTCTAGTGAGAGGAGGACGTCGTTCAGCAGGTAGATGTACCTGAGACAGTTGCTATAGTAACTATATAGTAACTATAGTAACTATAGTTACTATACTGTATAGTAACTATAGTAACTATAGTACAACATGCGGAGAGCAAGAATTTTAAATACTGGATAATCTTCGGTATCCATTTTAGTGAATTTTCCCGAATTTTTCTATTTTTTTTTCGAGGCAAAACAAGTAATAAAAGGGTGGTTATAAATAGAGAAAAAGAGGGGAAAAGAGGGATTTTGGAGATGGGGATTGGTACACGTTGTATACCTCTCGTGCACGCGAAGCGTGCACGCCGGCCGGCGTGCGATCAAAAGGGGTTGCAGCGTGTGTCAAGTTGGAGGTGGGTCACTCTTTTCATGTTTCCATGACGACGAGAAAGCAGTTGCAATTTGATCGGGACTAAATGTTACATTTTTAGCACATCCTCTTGTAATTGTATTACCTCTTAGTGGAGATGAAAACCTATAGATTAATGCTCGTGATGATGTGTACTCCCCAACCCCCCCCCCCCCCCCCCCCCCCCTTCCCCCGTCGTACCTGAACATGATAGGGTCGAGTGATCCGGAGAGAATGCAGCCAAATATAGCGATAAAAGGGTTGTCAGGGGCGTATTTAGCTATAGCACTCAGCAGGTCTACCTGCAGTACAACAGTTACACCTAGTTACCATGGTTACCATAGTTACTATAGTTACACCTAGTACCTACCTGCAGTACAACAGTTACACCTAGTTACACCTAGTTACCATGGTTACTATAGTTACTATAGTTACTATAGTAACTACCTGCAGTACTAGTTATCACATCTATCAAATGCAAAACAGTAGCATTAGTTAACAACAATTCTGTTAACAACAATTCTGTAAATTCATAGCCTGGCTATGAATTTACTGATAGCCTGCTGAAGAAAAAAAAAACGCTCAAAAGCCTGACTCGTTAAGCTGAGTTGAACGTTAAATTTGATAAACGAAATAAAATCGATGCATACGACATACACGCGAGGAGGAGCGCACCCGTACTATAGTAACTACAGTAACTATGGTTACTATGGTAACCATGGCAACGTACCCGTACGATAGTAACTATAGTAACTATGGTTACTATGGTAACCATGGTAACGTACCCGTACGATAGTAACTATAGTAACTATGGTAACCATGGTAACCATGGTAACGTACCCGTACGATAGTAACTATAGTAACTATGGTTACTATGGTAACCATGGTAACGTACCCGTACGATAGTAACTATAGTAACTATAGTTACTATGGTAACCATGGTAACGTACCCGTACGATAGCCATTAGTTCTTCTAACTGGTATTGTCCTAGAAGGAAATCCGCTAAATGGTCCACCATACTTTTATACAGGTCCTCCTTTCCAATATTACTGAAATATCAAGTTATAAAACATATTGAATAGAGGAATTTTATCATTTTAACTATAGGAAAACAAAACCTTGATAGGATTTTATTAAAAGATCATCGTGATACGGAACTCTCCTTATTTCCTTATTTGGTAATGTACCTGAGGTAGAGGAAGAAGTGCTCGATACAGGTTATCACGTGCTCCTCTGATAACTCACGTGATCTGACAATTAATTAAATTAATTATTTATCTAGAATTATAGGGTAATAGAGTAGACGGAATTATTCATAGCGTTTCTCTGTAGCAGCTTCAGGCACTTAAAGTTGCTAGAGTTGTTATACACAATTCAAAACGGCTCAAAATCAGCAGTCTCTAATTATCGTCCAATCTCATTACTGGCAGCATTTTCCAAAATTTACGAAAAAGTTATGCACGCTAGACTTGTAGAATTCTTGAATCAAAATTAAAGATTTAAAAAAAAATTTGCGGTGTGCCATTAAAATAACGAATTCAAAATGTATATTCCATTATTTGCAGTTTGTTACGATTTATTTCATTTGACCTCACTTTTCTATTTAGTTTTGATATATTTTCTAGTAGTTATGTTTTCAGGAGTGCCCATTGGGGGTTTTATTTTTAACTGATTATGATGTAGATAATAAATTAGTCCATTAGAGATAATCCCCTCACGAGGGGCTTTCAATCAAGCTCCTACCTGTGGAAGTAGGTTCTGGAGCAGTTTCTCCACATCTTGGCTAACTTCTTGTTGAGGTCACGTGTGCTGACAGTATCACGTGACATGTTACTAACACCACGTGACACACCACGTGACGACCTCTGTTCTCCTGATTCTTCTGCGTGGTCTAGTCTGGTGTTACTTCCCGGACTGTTCTCTTCCTGAACCAGTCTATATTACATCTCCCACCACAACATCTGTTATACCCAGGCACTGAGAGCCCAGAATTGTAAACTGTTTTTATTTTATCAACTCGACTGTTTAATTCGTCTTCTCATAGATTTTCTTACGATTAACCACGAAACTTCGTTCCTACTAATTAAAGCATGGTGTTTACATTCCATGAGCTCCCCCCCCCCGGCCCCCCCCCCCCCCCTACATTCCTATCGGCATTATTATATTAATCTTCATAGCTTCTAAGAATACTACTACTACTATTAGGTAGGTAATAATAAGGTATAAAATATGTTCCTTACCGCACAAACCTCCGCGAGAGCTTCTCTCAAACAATCAGCTGGTGGATCATTGAGAAACGGTCTGGAAACCTTTAAATGTGAGCATCCAGGCGGTAACTTTATCACCTGGGAGTGGGGGTAACTTAATCACCTGAGAGTGGGGGTAACTTAATCACCTGGGAGTGGGGGTAACTTAATCACCTGAGAGTGGGGGTAACTTAATCACCTGGGAGTGGGGGTAACTTAATCACCTGGGAGTGGGGGTAACTTAATCACCTGGGAGTGGAGGTAACTTAATCACCTGGGGGTGGGGGTAACTTAATCACCTGGGAGTGGAGGTAACTGAATCACCTGGGAGTGGAGGTAACTTAATCACCTGGGAGTGGAGGTAACTTAATCACCTGGGAGTGGAGGTAACTTAATCACCTGGGACTGGGGGTAACTTAATCACCTGGGAGTGGAGGTAACTTAATCACCTGGGAGTGGAGGTAACTTAATCACCTGGGAGTGGGGGTAACTTAATCACCTGGGAGTGGAGGTAACATAATCACCTGGGAGTGGAAGTAACTTAATCACCTAAGAGCCAATAGAATTACAGGATCTGGTCGCATTACATGATGGAGCTACTCCGGCTATGTGTAATAATTAAGTTAGGATCTTGCTGTTCTCCAGTTACATAGGCCGTCACGTTAGTTACTCGCATTGATATTGAATTTCAGCTTTTTGTTGCCCGTAGCAACTCATATACCTTACCTTGTAGTTTGATTTGTCAGCAGCATTTACCGTGTGTCAGTGTGAGAGCTAATAATAGCTAGTGAGTGATTCCCCGGTTCCTTGCTTTGTTCGCTATCCGTGCACTTAAATAGATGATTTAGTCTATAAAATATAAGCCTACATCTAGGTTATATAACATATAAGCCTACATCTAGTAGTAGTACATCTAGGTTGTATGGCCTATTTATTCTCTATATCTAGGTTATATGGCCTATTTATTCTCTACATCTAGGTTGTATGGCCTATTTATTCTCTTTATCTAGATTGTATGGCCTATTTATTCTCTTTATCTAGATTGTATGGCCTATTTATTCTCTAGATCTAGGTTATATGGCTTTTTCATTTTCTAAATCTAGGTTATATGGCCTATTTATTCTCTATATCTAGGTTATATGGCCTATTTATTCTCTTTATCTAGGTTTTATGGCCTATTTATTCTCTTTATCTAGATTGTATGGCCTATTTATTCTCTTTATCTAGATTGTATGGCCTATTTATTCTCTAGATCTAGGTTATATGGCTTTTTCATTTTCTAAATCTAGGTTATATGGCCTATTTATTCTCTATATCTAGGTTATATGGCCTATTTATTCTCTTTATCTAGGTTGTATGGCCTATTTATTCTCTTTATCTAGGTTGTATGGCCTATTTATTCTCTTTATCTAGGTTGTATGGCCTATTTATTCTCTACATCTAGGCTGTATGGCCTATTTATTCTCTATATCTAGGTTGTATGGCCTATTTATTCTCTAGATCTAGATTGTATGGCCTATTTATTCTCTAAATCTAGGTTATATGGCCTATTTATTCTCTAGATCTAGATCGTATGGCTTTTTCATTATCTAAATCTAGGTTATATGGCCTATTTATTCTCTACATCTAGGTTGTATGGCCTATTTATTCTCTTTATCTAGGTTGTATGGCCTATTTATTCTCTACATCTAGGTTGTATGGCCTATTTATTCTCTTTATCTAGGTTGTATGGCCTATTTATTCTCTACATCTAGGCTGTATGGCCTATTTATTCTCTAGATCTAGATTGTATGGCTTTTTCATTCTCTAAATCTAAGTTATATGGCCTATTCATTCTCTAAATCTAGGTTGTATGGCCTATTCATTATCTAAATCTAGGTTGTATGGCCTATTTATTCTCTTTATCTAGGTTGTATGGCCTATTTATTCTCTTTATCTAGGTTGTATGGCCTATTTATTCTCTACATCTAGGTTATATGGCCTATTCATTCTCTAAATCTAGGTTGTATGGCCTATTCATTATCTAAATCTAGGTTGTATGGCCTATTTATTCTCTTTATCTAGGTTGTATGTCCTATTTATTCTCTTTATCTAGATTGTATGGCCTATTTATTCTCTACATCTAGGTTATATGGCCTATTTATTCTCTAGATCTAGATAGTATGGCCTTTTCATTCTCTAGATCTAGATTATATGGCTTTTAAATTCTATAAATCTAGATTATATATGGCCTATCCAGTATCCATTCTCCAAGCATATATATTGCTGATAAGGGGGGGGGGGGGGGGGTATTGATTTAATCATAGCAATTCTATCCACCGCAGACGGGTATCCCATTTCCAATTCAGCAGAATTTTATTTCGGACACAACCCCAAATCTGCAGCTCTAATGAGAGCCACTATCATTCACACCATAATTCGGTTCCCACTGGAAATCGAATCCTGGGAAGTTTTTGAGCAGACCACTACAACACTGTTATTTTCTTTCCTAACCCTTGAGTTCCCCAGCTATAATGGTCGGTAGAGACTCCCGATCACCGCCGCACAACCGTAACCGCCGATCACCACGAGGATCCAGGTCACCGAGATCACCTCACAGTGACCACTGGGATCGGTCAACATCTCACAGGTCCCCGTCACGGAGACCAGACTCCAAAACCTACAGGAGGTCACATTCTCAAGAATACAAAAACCAAAGATCAGATTCTCAAGAATACAGAAACCAAAGATCGCATTCTCAAAATTACAAAAACCAAAGGCATGACTCCCCAACGCTGGGTTATAGCAGCACCAATAACAAGTCCCGCTCACCTCCTCGACGGAATGGATCACCCCACTATAACCCTAGGAGGTCCCCTAGAAGATCACCTAGAAGATCACCTAGAAGATCACCTAGAAGATCACCTAGAGGATCCCCTAGAAGATCCCCTAGAAGATCCCGATCTCCAGACAGGAGAGACTATCATGGCCGGTCTTCTGACAACTATCATGGCCCGTCTAGATCACGCTCACCCTCACAGAGGAGCGACAATTCAGAGTTCTACAACAGGAACCATCCAGCCTTTTCTGAAGGTCAAGAGAACTCTTCTAACACCCGGAACACGTCGGCTGGGGACACGACCCGACCAGACACTAACTTCAGGGACCAACCCCAGAGTTTCTCAGAGCACCGTGCTGGGAGAGATAACCCCAGTGAAGCTAGCGGATTAGCCAACAATTTCCAGAATGATGGCTCCTTCATGGAGATGTTCAAGAGAAAAATGGACGAGAAGAAGAAAGAAGAGGAGGCTACACAGCAAACGTCCGAACAAAAGGTGCAATATCTTAAAATGTATACTAGTATTATTGTTATTAATATTGAAACGTTTCATAGTTAACACCAAGATCTGAACAAGGTTAAGCCATTATTTTAAAGATTTGACTCATGTTGCCCACAATATTAAACACGTCCCTCAACATGGTTTAGAAATTACTAGCAGGAATATATATATATAGTAAGATAGTAGGAGTACTCACTTAGTCTGAGTTACAACATTGATCTACAATGTACATTCTACATCTCCCCACATTTGTACACTTATTTGGCTGAAAACTGACTAGTACTACTGGGTAACTAACATGAAAGCAACATTTCAGACGGTGAAGAAGTCCTTACTATTCCGGAAAATTCCTCAGAAGAAGGCCAAGCCACTGGTTACGGGCGTTAAAAAGGTATTTTTAGCACCGAGAGGTTATCAGCTGTAATTATCATACAATACTCTGATTAACATAGCTCCTTGTTGTTTCCTACCTTTACCTTTCCTGGGGATGATATTCTAAAGTTACTGGTATTGTTATTGGTATTTTACTAACTGCACTATCAATAAATAAAACGATTACTCGCATGTCCTGCACCATGGTAACCATGGTGACCTGATCATGTGCATGTTAACACTAATCTACCGGACAACTAATGCCAAGGGACACACCAGATTACACAACAACATATAATACAAGGTGATGTTGTGTCCCGGACCACTAAAAATCTAGTTCCGGGTTTTGGCGATTTGTCGGCCTCTATCTGGTGTGGGTATGAGAACAGTTCGGTTCGACTTAAACCGCATGCTGAAAAAAAAACAAAAGTCTTTTGGCCTAAATCGGATAACGTAGCCCAATTAAGCAATTAACGACCAATTAAGTAATTAACGGGAGAGCCCCGCCCAGGCACAGAAGAAGCCGGAGGCAGCTAGTAACAGCGCGTGGGAGGCGTACATGAGGGAGGTGGAAGCGTACAAGACGAACAGCTGTGCTGATGATGACAGGTTCAGCAGACCCCTCTGCAAGTGATCACTATTTACCACCTTGGTGTTACCACCTGCAACACCCTGGTGTTACCACCTGCAACACCTAGGTGTTACCACCTGCAACACGTAGGTGTTACCACCTGCAACACCTAGGTGTTACCACCTGCAACACCTAGGTGTTACCACCTGCAACACCTTGGTGTTACCAGCTGAAACACCTTGGTGTTACCACCTGCAACACCCTGGTGTTACCACCTGCAACACCTTGGTGTTACCAGCTGAAACACCTTGGTGTTACCACCTGCAACACCCTGGTATTACCACCTGCAACACCTTGGTGTTACCAGCTGAAACACCTTGGTGTTACCACCTGCAACACCCTGGTGTTACCACCTGCAACACCTTGGTGTTACCAGCTGAAACACCTTGGTGTTACCACCTGCAACACCCTGGTGTTACCACCTGCAACACCTTGGTGTTACCAGCTGAAACACCTTGGTGTTACCACCTGCAACACCTTGGTGTTACCACCTGCAACACCTTGGTGTTACCACCTGCAACACCCTGGTGTTACCACCTGCAACATCTTGGTGTTACCACCTGCAACACCTTGGTGTTACCAGCTGAAACACCTTGGTGTTACCACCTGCAACACCCTGGTGTTACCAGCTGAAACACCTTGGTGTTACCACCTGCAACACCCTGGTGTTACCACCTGCAACATCTTGGTGTTACCAGCTGAAACACCTTGGTGTTACCACCTGCAACACCTTGGTGTTACCACCTGCAACACCTGGGTGTTATCACCTGCAACACCTTGGTGTTACCAGCTGCAACACCTAGGTGTTACCACCTGCAACACATAGGTGTTACCACCTGCAACACCTTGGTGTTACCACCTAAATAGTTATGAAGATATTCGGAACAGGAAACCAGAGACAATACAATTATCCTGTGCTGTCTTGAAGCATTTGATTGTTTTATGATTTCCCACTTCGCAGCTTGAAGGTAAGTAGATAGCAGTCAGAGAGATTCCTAATATTAGTAAACTAATTATTAGTATTACAGCTGATTATTAGTATTACAGCTGAAATTATAAACTGTGATTTCCTATTACTCGAACTACATTATTTCGCTGCCCAATGTTTCAAACAGTAGGTAAACATTACCCACATGGCATGTTACCATAGTAACTACTAGTTGTATATCCTGACTTACTATTTAATAATAGCTATAGAGAGGGGGTGTCTCCCCGCTATATACTATATAGGGAGGAGGTGTCTCCCCGCTATAATATACCTCACTTCTCTTTTAGAAGCTCTTTTGTACCATTTTTAACGTGTGACTAAAACGTTCTTGAGTGAATCATTTTAACCGTTTTTAAATGTACGCCAGCCAAGGGTGCACTTTAAAGTGCGATCAGCAGTGCACAGTGGGTGCTGATTCAGCACCTGCTGTGCACTGTGCACTGTGCACTGTGCACTGTGCACTGTGCACTGTGCACTGTGCACTGTGCAGTGTGCACGTTAATTTTGTCTTTGTTTGAACCGGGTTAATCTGAACGTTTTTCTGTAATTGCGGTTAATATTTTAATGTATTTTGTTTATACATTAACCTGTTATATTTTTAAGTTATTAGATTTGCAGATTTTAATAAACTGTCTTCCTCTTGTTTTCCATATAATATGATAATTGCCACCTTTTTGGCTCCAAAATGGGCTTCAAATTACATGCATTGCCAATTTACAGACACGAGTTCTAAAAATCAACCAAATGATTCCTTTCTAACTCCGCAATAAGTACAAATACAATTCAAATTAAAAAAGATATCAAGATTTGAGAAAGCGCCAACTCGAGATGTCAAGAACAGTTTATAGACTGGTTTTGCCTAAATTAGCTAAATTTGGGTTTTTAATACATGAATAAATAGATATCAAAAATCCTTAATCCTCCTACTCCTCAATCTGCTGCCGCTATTTCACAACTGAGCCATGCTGCCCCAACTGTGATACTGATGAAGGATGTCAAACTTCCAACTTGATTCAAGTTTAAATAAACATTAAAGAATACAACCTTATAGTTATATATAAAGAGCTACTTGGGTTTAAAAGAAATTCTTCGGTCTTGAACTGTTGAAGAGTGGTACTAGTAACTACTTATAAATATTGTGTACCCAGATGCAATAATCATCGTCCATATATGTTTTTCAAAAATACTTGGGTCGAGTACGAGTGAGGAGTTGATTGACGATGCCAACCCTTCCAGATCGTTGCTTTGCGAAGCAGAGCAAGAATGTTAGTTTGCACGGCGCGTCGAAGCGGCGAAGTCCTCCAAGTGAGGAGTTACAATAGAGGGCGAGTAAGGTCTAAATATTGAGGAGCAATATCTATATCCTCTCTCCAGCAGGGGTTGTTATGCAGAAGTTCTAAACTCTTGGCTGCTTTGTTGATAGCAATGAGCTGCTTCTTGGCCTGTTCGTTGGATGGAATGCACACAAAATCGAGGCTTTGTTTCTGTCGCAGTCCTGCTTCTATCATTTCAGCTGGTATCTTCGTCCTGCGGTGATATATTACCTTATATGGGCATCACGTGAAATATTAGCAAATACTGTACTTAGACAAAGTAGACAGGTTGAAGTTACTCAATAATTGAGTTGTAATACTACAACAGTAATACAGAAATATTACAATTGTTACCTGTAGTGATGTATCTTATCGTTTATCTCTGATATGATCTTAGGATAAGCCTCCTGCAGCTGTATAAACGCCACCACCTGCCCCAACAAACTCGTCTCAACAAACATTTTACTGTTATTATTACTTAAACTGCAGGCGAAATAGTGTTCCTTGCTCTTGTTAGTAGCTAGCGGGTACACACTCTCCATAGCACAGTTAAACTCAGGGTAGGACATCCTGCTGGGACTAGCCCCACAGTTCTGTTTAAGCTTTATCACAGTCTCACAGACGCGCGGCTCTCTGTCCCGGACTATGCAGTGCATGAGATAGTTGGAGACCAGGGAGGGGGATATCCTGTTGTTGGAGTGGGAGCTGAAACTCAGGACGTGAGGGTCTATATCCTCGTCTGTAAGGTGGGGGTAGAGCACCATCATGAGGGGGCGGAGATCTAGTGTACACACCAGGTCTAGTGAGAGGAGGATGTCGTTCAGCAGGTAGATGTACCTGGGACAGTTGCTATAGTAACTATATAGTAACTATAGTAACTATACTGTATAGTAACTATAGTAACTATAGTACAACATGCGGAGAGCAAGAATTTTAAATACTGGATAATCTTCGGTATCCATTTTAGTGAATTTTCCCGAATTTTTCTATTTTTTTTTTCGAGGCAAAACAAGTAATAAAAGGGTGGTTATAAATAGAGAAAAAGAGGGGAAAAGAGGGATTTTGGAGATGGGGATACCGATAAAGGTGTCAGGTGGAGGTTGCTACACGTTGTATACCTCTCGTGCACGCGAAGCGTGCACGCCGGCCGGCGTGCGATCAAAAGGGGTTGCAGCGTGTGTCAAGTTGGAGGTGGGTCACTCTTTTCATGTTTCCATGACGACGAGAAAGCAGTTGCAATTTGATCGGGACTAAATGTTACATTTTTAGCACATCCTCTTGTAATTGTATTACCTCTTAGTGGAGATGAAAACCTATAGATTAATGCTCGTGATGATGTGTACTCCCCAACCCCCCCCCCCCCCCCCCCCCTTCCCCCGTCGTACCTGAACATGATAGGGTCGAGTGATCCGGAGAGAATGCAGCCAAATATAGCGATAAAAGGGTTGTCAGGAGCGTATTTAGCTATAGCACTCAGCAGGTCTACCTGCAGTACAATAGTTACACCTAGTTACCATGGTTACTATAGTTACTATAGTTACTATAGTTACTACCTGCAGTACAATAGTTACACCTAGTTACCATGGTTACCATGGTTACTATAGTTACACCTAGTACCTACCTGCAGTACAAGTTATCACATCTATCAAATGCAAAACAGTAGCATTAGTTAACAACAATTCTGTTAACAACAATTCTGTAAATTCATAGCCTGGCTATGAATTTACTGATAGCCTGCTGAAGAAAAAAAAACGCTCAAAAGCCTGACTCGTTAAGCTGAGTTGAACGTTAAATTTGATAAACGAAATAAAATCGATGCATACGACATACACGCGAGGAGGAGCGCGCCCGTACTATAGTAACTACAGTAACTATGGTTACTATGGTAACCATGGTAACGTACCCGTACGATAGTAACTATAGTAACTATGGTTACTATGGTAACCATGGTAACGTACCCGTACGATAGTAACTATAGTAACTATGGTAACCATGGTAACCATGGTAACGTACCCGTACGATAGTAACTATAGTAACTATGGTTACTATGGTAACCATGGTAACGTACCCGTACGATAGTAACTATAGTAAATATAGTTACTATGGTAACCATGGTAACGTACCCGTACGATAGCCATTAGTTCTTCTAACTGGTATTGTCCTAGAAGGAAATCCGCTAAGTGGTCCACCATACTTTTATACAGGTCCTCCTTTCCAATATTACTGAAATATCAAGTTATAAAACATATTAAATAGAGGAATTTTATCATTTTAACTATAGGAAAACAAAACCTTGATAGGATTTTATTAAAAGATCATCGTGATACGGAACTCTCCTTATTTCCTTATTTGGTAATGTACCTGAGGTAGAGGAAGAAGTGCTCGATACAGGTTATCACGTGCTCCTCTGATAACTCACGTGATCTGACAATTAATTAAATTAATTATTTATCTAGAATTATAGGGTAATAGAGTAGACGGAATTATTCATAGCGTTTCTCTGTAGCACTGAAAGCAGCTTCAGGCACTTAAAGTTGCTAGAGTTGTTATACACAATTCAAAACGGCTCAAAAACAGCAGTCTCTAATTATCGTCCAATCTCATTACTGGCAGCATTTTCCAAAATTTACGAAAAAGTTATGCACGCTAGACTTGTAGAATTCTTGAATCAAAATTAAAGATTTTAAAAAAAATTTGCGGTGTGCCATTAAAATAACAAATTCAAAATGTATATTCCATTATTTGCAGTTTGTTACGATTTATTTCATTTGACCTCACTTTTCTATTTAGTTTTGATATATTTTCTAGTAGTTATGTTTTCAGGAGTGCCCATTGGGGGTTTTATTTTTAACTGATTATGATGTAGATAATAAATTAGTCCATTAGAGATAATCCCCTCACGAGGGGCTTTCAATCAAGCTCCTACCTGTGGAAGTAGGTTCTGGAGCAGTTTCTCCACATCTTGGCTAACTTCTTGTTGAGGTCACGTGTGCTGACAGTATCACGTGACATGTTACTAACACCACGTGACACACCACGTGACGACCTCTGTTCTCCTGATTCTTCTGCCTGGTCTAGTCTGGTGTTGCTTCCCTGACTGTTCTCTTCCTGAACCAGTCTATATTACATCTCCCACCACAATATCTGTTATACCCAGGCACTGAGAGTCCAGAATTTTAAACTGTTTTTATTTTATCAACTCGACTGTTTAATTCGTCTTCTCATAGATTTTCTTACGATTAACCACGAAACTTCGTTCCTACTAATTAAAGCATGGTGTTTACATTCCATGAGCCCCCCCCCCCCCCTACATTCCTATTGTTATTATCTGTATTAATCTTCATAGCTTCTAATGATACTACTACTACTATTAGGTAGGTAATAATAAGGTATAAAATATGTTCCTTACCGCACAAACCTCCGCGAGAGCTTCTCTCAAACAATCCGCTGGTGGAACATTGAGAAACGGTCTGGACACCTTTAAATGTGAGCATCCAGGTGGTAACTTTATCACCTGGGAGTGGAGGTAAATTAATCACCTGGGAGTGGGGGTAACTTAATCACCTGGGAGTGAGGGTAACTCAATCACCTGGGAGTGGAGGTAACTTAATCACCTGGGAGTGGGGGTAACTTAATCACCTGGGAGTGGGGGTAACTTAATCACCTGGGAGTGGGGGTAACTTAATCACCTGGGAGTGGGGGTAACTTAATCACCTGGGAGTGGAGGTAACTTAATCACCTGGGAGTGGAGGTAACTTAATCACCTGGGAGTGGGGGTAACTTAATCACCTCGGAGTGGGGGTAACATAATCACCTGGGAGTGGAGGTAACTTAATCACCTGGGAGTGGGTTAACTTAATCACCTGGGAGTGGGGGTAACTTAATCACCTGGGAGTGGGGTTAACTTAATCACCTGGGAGTGGAGGTAACTTAATCACCTGGGAGTGGGGGTAACTTAATCACCTGGGAGTGGGGGTAACTTAATCACCTGGGAGTGGGGGTAACTTAATCACCTGGGAGTGGAGGTAACTTAATCACCTGGGAGTGGGTTAACTTAATCACCTGGGAGTGGGGGTAACTTAATCACCTGGGAGTGGAGGTAACTTAATCACCTCGGAGTGGGGGTAACATAATCACCTGGGAGTGGGGTTAACTTAATCACCTGGGAGTGGAGGTAACTTAATCACCTGGGAGTGGGTTAACTTAATCACCTGGGAGTGGGGGTAACTTAATCACCTGGGAGTGGGGGTAACTTAATCACCTGGGAGTGGGGGTAACTTAATCACCTGGGAGTGGGGGTAACTTAATCACCTGGGAGTGGGGGTAACTTAATCACCTGGGAGTGGAGGTAACTTAATCACCTGGGAGTGGGGGTAACTTAATCACCTGGAAGTGGGGGTAACTTAATCACCTGGGAGTGGGGGTAACTTAATCACCTGGGAGTGGAGGTAACTTAATCACCTGGGAGTGGGGGTAACTTAATCACCTGGGAGTGGAGGTAACTTAATCACCTGGAAGTGGGGGTAACTTAATCACCTGGGAGTGGGGGTAACTTAATCACCTGGGAGTGGGGGTAACTTAATCACCTGGGAGTGGGGGTAACTTAATCACCTGGAAGTGGAGGTAACTTAATCACCTGGGAGTGGGGGTAACTTAATCACCTGGGAGTGGAGGTAACTTAATCACCTGGAAGTGGAGGTAACTTAATCACCTGGGAGTGGAGGTAACTTAATCACCTGGTAGTGGGGGTAACTTAATCACCTGGGAGTGGAGGTAACTTAATCACCTGGGAGTGGAGGTAACTTAATCACCTGGGAGTTGGGGTAACTTAATCAAAAAGAAAACGATTGCTAGGACCATCTCGTCCCCTCCCTCCCCAGGATTAACATTTCAAAGAATGGAAAAATTTTGAAATGTACCGAGTTTTGAGCGAAGTGAAGATGAGGACAGATGAAAACCACAGCGTCACAAGATTTACACTCTTTAGAACCAGACAAACGGGAGAAGGTAATGCAGTCATTTGTAGAGATCTCCACTGATGCAGCGTACTTTGCAGTAATTATCTCCTTAGAATGGAAAGGATCTTTACCTTCCGCAAACAGATTCCTAACGTTCACCTGTAAATGTAACGATATAAAATGCGTCCTAAAATTGAAAACTAAAATATTTAATCTGGAATAACAAATAGCTACTTGACAAACCACTAGTTTCTAACGGTGGTTTCTAATTTCCTCACCTCAATTTCCTCTTCCTCCTCTTCTTCTGCTTCTAACCCAGCCAATTTCCTCTCGTAGTTTATATGTGTGTTCAGAAGCTTCAGCTCATTTAGCACAGACATCCCGAGCTGCGATACAGTGAGTTAGTGAGTTAGTGAGTTAGTGAGTTAGTGAGTTAGTGAGTTAGTGAGTTAGTGAGTCAGTGAGTTAGTGAGTCAGTGAGTTAGTGAGTCAGTGAGTTAGTGAGTCAGTGAGTTAGTGAGTTAGTGAGTTAGTGAGTCAGTGAGTTAGTGGGTCAGTGACTCAGTGAGTCAGTGAGTTAGTGAGTTAGTGAGTTAGTGAGTCAGTGAGTTAGTGAGTTAGTGAATTAGTGAGTTAATGAGTCAGTGAGTAAGTGAGTTAGTGAGTCAGTGCGTCAGCGAGTCAGTGAGTTAGTGAGTCAGTGAGTTAGTGAGTCAGTGAGTTGGTGAATTAGTGAGTTAATGAGTCAGTGAGTAAGTGAGTCAGTGAGTCAGTGAGTCAGTGAGTCAGTGAGTCAGTGAGTTAGTGAGTTAATGAGTCAGTGAGTAAGTGAGTCAGTGAGTCAGTGAGTTAGTGAGGTAGTGAGTTAGTGAGTCAGTGAGTTAGTGAGTCAGTGAGTTAGTGAGTCAGTGAGTTAGTGAGTCAGTGAGTTAGTGAGTCAGTGAGTTAGTGAGTTAGTGAGTCAGTGAGTTAGTGAGTTAGTGAGTAAGTGAGTTAGTGAGTCAGTGAGTCAGTGAGTCAGTGAGTCAGTGAGTTAGTGAGTTAGTGAGTCAGTGAGTCAGTGAGTCAGTGAGTCAGTGAGTCAGTGAGTTAGTGAGTCAGTGAGTTAGTGAGTTTATGAGTCAGTGAGTAAGTGAGTTAGTGAGTCAGTGAGTAAGTGAGTTAGTGAGTTAGTGAGTCAGTGAGTCAGTGAGTCAGTGAGTCAGTGAGTCAGTGAGTCAGTGAGTCAGTGAGTTAGTGAGGTAGTGAGTCAGTGAGTAAGTGAGTAAGTGAGTTAGTGAGTCAGTGAGTCAGTGAGTCAGTGAGTCAGTGAGTCAGTGAGTCAGTGAGTCAGTGAGTTAGTGAGGTAGTGAGTCAGTGAGTAAGTGAGTAAGTGAGTCGGTGAGTCAGTGAGTCAGTGAGTCAGTGAGTCAGTGAGTCAGTGAGTTAGTGAGTCAGTGAGTCAGTGAGTTAGTGAGTTAGTGAGTCACTGAGTCAGTGAGTCAGTGATTTAGTGAGTCAAAGATGGTGTGATGAACTATTTATATTGATATTACCGTACCTTGGTAAACGTTTCCCGCATGATTATATAGCGTTTGTTCCAGTCTGAAAGGTCGTCTGACTTGCTTGAGTTGAGCACCAGATTGTTGTATCTAGGAAGAACGCAACGTTGGAAGTAGTTTATTAATTAATGTACTATTATTCAGTTCTATACCCAACTAGCTGCTCCTGCAACCTACCTTGCCCTGAAGTTATCTTGTTCTTGTAACAGATTGTTGATTATCCCAACTAACTGCTCCTGCAAAACAACTGACTCTGACCTCTTTTCGTCCACCTTTCCATTTTCATCCTCGTCACTATTCTGAAATAAATCAGTAAATATTTCAAGCGGGAAGTATAACTTGTGGCCGATAGTTACTAGTAGTTAGTACTCCTGTTAAATCACTGGAAAATGATAAAGGGCTGTTCACATATTTCACATAAGCTTGAACTACTGTATATTGTATATATATAGTATATATACTAGCAGGATTGCAGGATTGCAGGAACCCGTCTAACCCTAAAGTGGTGTCAAGACTCGAGAGACTAAAATAATAAAAGATCAGTGATAATCACTTTCCTGCGCAGATAATGTTCAGGAATAGTATAAGAGTGATAATTTCCCGTCCTTAGTCTGTGTTACCTGCTCAGAGAGTCTAAAGAAATCAGTCTGCAAATTGTAATACTCCCTCTTGAACGTCGAAACTTTTAAAATTTCCGCGTCCTTCTTCACCACCCAGGATTCGAACATCTGCAAATTTTAGGTTTCTTAAATTTGTGAATCGTTCACACACTCATATCATAATAGAAGTGATGAATTTATGTATATAGATTAAAGATACTGTACTAGTCATAACCAAGTTACTACAATAAGTAAAATCTATGTATAAAGCACACATATTAAATCTAGAAATACTAACCTTTTTCTGCAGCACTTTTTCTTGGTTGGCTTCGTCCACATTTTCACTAAGAACCTGGACGTTTCTCTGCAGTTTTCCCACCAAATCATCTTTCTCTTCATGTTCCATACTAAGCCTCTTTATTTCGTTCTTTAGGTCGTCGATCCTGAAAATATTAGTGATGAAAATGGTTTTATACAACTGTAGGATTTTAGCATAATCGTAAAAGTTTAACATTATACCTATTAAACAAAAGGAATAAGCGACTGCTATTTGAGCAAATCAAGGACTTTTACTTTCTTGTCTTTTTGTCCAACAAGGCAGCAATATTCTCACTCTCGCTCCGTGTTTTGGAAACCTCGCTCCTCAACTGCTCACTTTCATCTTTTAGCGTTTCCGCTGCTGTGTTCCGTTCCTCCTCCAATCTGACACAATATTTTCAGTACACTAGACTGAATACAAGAGTATTATACCCAACATTGACCGGCGAACTGATAGCTACTTCAGAAGCAATGAAATTACGATCTTCTAGATAAAATGAGTCATATTACTTTCAGCCGGAGCCATCATAAGTGCAACATAAATCTAAAAGAAAGTATGGTATGTACTGAATATAATATCATGGAAACGTTATCTTACATGATGATAATATACCATTATTTGTGACTCCAAATTGATTATAAAATCGATACTCTATTCTATTATAAAGATAATGCCTTATGGTCTCCTTGGTAACCTTTCGTGAAATACAACAAATGTTGAGGGAATTTCCTAGCTTTATTTGGCGGAGTCAGGGCCGGACAATAAACGTCAAATCGAATAGAGAAAGATTGTGGCATCTTTCCGGCACATTTCATGCTAGGAAGAACTTCAATGAGAAATGTTGCAATCGAGTATCGACTATGTTCGTAGATTCTGAGCACGCAGATCCAAGACTGCACGTGGCTTTTAGTGTAGAGCATGCATTTAGTTCAGAATGCCGCGCGCGCATTTAGAGTGCACTAACTGCTGAACACCAATAACTATACACAAAAATATTTTAGCGCAATCCAAAAAATGTCCACAGATTTAAATTTTCCCAGTAGAACAGAGGGTGTTTTCTCAGATTTTGTGGCGGATATGAATCTTGCCCCCATCATGTATTTTGCTTATTATTGAGCTATTATTCTACCTTATTCAAACTCATTCTGACAAAAGTTATTATCAACAACTATGATTGGAATTATCGAGAATTCAGCAAGTAACTAGCCGGCTAGTGACCACTTACTAGCTACTAGCCGGTCACTATAAGTGACCAGCTATTAGTATAATTAATGCTCCTTCTTTATTATTAGTAGCCACTCTTAATTTGATAGAGAGGGAGCATTTCAACTAGTAGCCGGATAGTAACCGCCTAGTGACCGGCCAGTTATCGGCTAGTGACCACTTTAGAAGTACCGAATAGTGACCACTTTTTAGTTGTGATATAGTTATGACTTGGTTATGACATGGTTCTAACATGGTTATGGCATGGTTATGCAATGGTTATTGGTTATGCAATGGTTATTGAATGGCTATGACACGGTTGTGACATGGTAATGCAGATGGGACCATCGTGTAATTTGCCTAATATTGAGATATTAACAGTTTCAATCTACCTTATTCTAACTAATTCTACAAGTGCAAAGTAGTGCATATTAATTTTAACAACAATCCTGATTTAAATTATAAGGTAAATGGTATAGAACTTGAAGTATCTGCACAGGAAAAAGATTTAGGGGTTATTACCCATAACTCCCTACTTTGGAACGAACAGATCAAAGCATGTATCGCTAAGGCAAATCGTATGATTTGTTGGATTGTAAGGAATTTAGTTATTAGAGAAAAGGTTGTTATGATTGCTATATATAAAGCTTTAATAAGACCTCATCTTGAGTATTGTGTCCAATTGTGGAATCCACCTGCGGCTCATGGAAGTTGGGGGACTGTTTTGGAGCTGGAGAGCGTCCAGATGCGGTTTACCGCATGCTAGGTACCGCCTAATGAGGCTCATTATTGCCCGCTACTGAATACTTGAATAGCTCCCGATAAGATCACTGATTGGGTGACGAAATCACTGATTAAGTGCAGAGATCACGTATCCGAAAGACCTTAAAAGGGTCATAACTAACGAGTACCTCCAAGAAATAATATCTGCGTGCCCGGTAATCAGTGTTCGCAACGGAAGCAGAAATAATCCAAAATATCCCAAATAATTGGGTGACGAAATCACTGATTAAGTGCAGAGATCACGTATCCGAAAGACCTTAAAAGCTTAAAAGGGTCATAACTCGGCTTAGTTATAAACAACCAACTTGAATTATCAAACCACATGTGTCTGGAAATTTTGGAGTTCTTAACTCAAAACGTTCTCACTTTATGGTGACAAAAGAGAAAAAGAGGGAGTGGTGTGCCACACCCTCTGTAATTGATGGAAATTTCAGGAAATTTAAGTTTGACCCATATCTATATTCTCTGAAATTTGTAAGCAATTCTGATGCCAATTACGTGAGTTATTAAAGGGTTGCGTGTGGGTAGTTACTTTTGGGCCACCCTGTAGTATATAATATGACCATTTTAGAGTGGTTCAGTGAATTTTTTGGTATAATGTATTATATTAATCATAATGATACTATGAAGGTAAACCAATACTTTTAGATCGTAAAGTTAATCATCTTATAAGACGTTTTAGGGTTTTTCTGAAATTTGTGGCGGTTTTCGCCCCCGTTTGGAAAAATTGCCCCCATTCCGGTTCAGAGTGGTTCTGTGTATGTTTTTGGTATGGTATGTTCACAGTAGTTGCTCCTAAGGTCAACGAACAATATAAGATCGCGAAATAAACCATCTTAAGACGTTTTATGGTTTTTCTGAAATTTGTGGCGGTTTTCGCCCCCGTTTGTCAAAATTACCCCCATCCGGTTTATAGAGTGGTTCTGTGTATGCTTTTGGTATGGTATGTTCACACTTCACAGTAGTTGCTCCTAAGGTCAACCAACAATATAAGATCGCGAAATAAACCATCTTAAGACGTTTTATGGTTTTTCTGAAATTTGTGGCGGTTTTCGCCCCCGTTTGTCAAAATTGTCCCCATCCGGTTAAGAGTGGTTATGTGTATGTTTTTGATATGGTATGTTCACAGTAGTTGCTACTAAGGACAACCAACAATATAAGACCGTGAAATAAACCATCTCAAAACGTTTTATGGTTTTTCTGAATTATCTGGTGGTTTTCACCCCCGTTTGGCAAAATTGCCCCCATCCGGTTTATAGAGTGGTTCTGTGTATGCTTTTGGTATGGTATGTTCACACTTCACAGTAGTTGCTCCTAAGGTCAACCAACAATATAAGATCGCGAAATAAACCATCTTAAGACGTTTTATGGTTTTTTTGAATTATCTGGTGGTTTTCACCCCCGTTTGGCAAAATTGCCCCCATCCGGTTTAGGTGGCTCTGTGTATGTTTTTAGGACTTTTCTGAGATTTGTAGGAGCAACTACTGTGAACATACCATATCAAAAAAATACACAGAACCACTCTAAACTGGATGGGGGCAATTTTGCCAAACGGGGGCGAAAACCGCCACAAATTTCAGAAAAACCATAAAACATCTTAAGATGGTTTATTTCGCCACCTTATATTGTTGGTTGACCTTAGGAGCAACTACTGTGAACATACCATACCAAAAATATACACAGAACCACTCTAAACCGGATGGGGGCAATTTTGCCAAACGGGGGCGAAAACCGCCACAAATTTCAGAAAAACCCTAAAACATCTTAAGATGGTTTATTTCACCACCTTATATTGTTGGTTGACCTTAGGAGCAACTACTGTGAACATACCATACCAAAAATATACACAGAACCACTCTAAACCGGATGGGGGCAATTTTGCCAAACGGGGGCGAAAACCGCCACAAATTTCAGAAAAACCCTAAAACATCTTAAGATGGTTTATTTCACCACCTTATATTGTTGGTTGACCTTAGAAGCCACTACTGTGAACATACCATACCAAAAACATACAAAGAACCAACTTTAACTCTCTAAACCGGATGGGGGCAATTTTGCCAAACGGGGGCGAAAACCGCCACAAATTTCAGAAAAACCCTTAAACGTCTTAAGATGGTTTATTTCACCACCTTATATTGTTGGTTGACCTTAGGAGCAACTACTGTGAACATACCATACCAAAAACATACACAGAACCACTCTAAACCGGATGGGGGCAATTTTGCCAAACGGGGGCGAAAACCGCCACAAATTTCAGAAAAACCCTAAAACATCTTAAGATGGTTTATTTCACCACCTTATATTGTTGGTTGACCTTAGGAGCAACTACTGTGAACATACCATACCAAAAACATACACAGAACCACTCTAAACCGGATGGGGGCAATTTTGCCAAACGGGGGCGAAAACCGCCACAAATTTCAGAAAAACCCTAAAACGTCTTAAGATGGTTTATTTCACCACCTTATATTGTTGGTTGACCTTAGAAGCCACTACTGTGAACATACCATACCAAAAACATACACAGAACCACTCTAAACCGGATGGGGGCAATTTTGCCAAACGGGGGCGAAAACCGCCACAAATTTCAGAAAAACCCTAAAACATCTTAAGATGGTTTATTTCACCACCTTATATTGTTGGTTGACCTTAGGAGCAACTACTGTGAACATACCATACCAAAAGCATACACAAAACCACTCTATAAACCGGATGGGGGTAATTTTGACAAACGGGGGCGAAAACCGCCACAAATTTCAGAAAAACCCTAAAACATCTTAAGATGGTTTATTTCATCACCTTATATTGTTGAACATACCATACCAAAAATATACACAGAACCACTCTAAACCGGATGGGGGCAATTTTGCCAAACGGGGGCGAAAACCGCCACAAATTTCAGAAAAACCCTAAAACATCTTAAGATGGTTTATTTCACCACCTTATATTGTTGGTTGACCTTAGAAGCCACTACTGTGAACATACCATACCAAAAACATACAAAGAACCAACTTTAACTCTCTAAACCGGATGGGGGCAATTTTGCCAAACGGGGGCGAAAACCGCCACAAATTTCAGAAAAACCCTTAAACGTCTTAAGATGGTTTATTTCACCACCTTATATTGTTGGTTGACCTTAGGAGCAACTACTGTGAACATACCATACCAAAAACATACACAGAACCACTCTAAACCGGATGGGGGCAATTTTGCCAAACGGGGGCGAAAACCGCCACAAATTTCAGAAAAACCCTAAAACATCTTAAGATGGTTTATTTCACCACCTTATATTGTTGGTTGACCTTAGGAGCAACTACTGTGAACATACCATACCAAAAACATACACAGAACCACTCTAAACCGGATGGGGGCAATTTTGCCAAACGGGGGCGAAAAC